AAAAGAGCCTTCTAATAGCTTTTCAACATACCATTATGAGATTACTGTTCATCACACTTGGGAAATGGTTGTTTATCAACATACCATTATGAGATTAATGTTCATCACACTTTGTTTATCAATGTCTGTTGTCGTCAACTGACTGACGATGGTGGCCTATCCAAATATCAAGCTAGAGTAACTAGTTATCACCTTGAGCGTGATTTCCTCAACGACCTAAAGGTAGCTAAGACCCTCTATATGGCTAATCGTACATCAACCACTCCCTATAGTCATAACTCTCTTGCTAGGTATAGAGGGAACTATTGTGTGTAGTTTATTTTCAAACAAGTGCAAAAATTTTAAACAATCACGCAGTTATTAAAGCCATACTAAAAAAAAATATATTTACAAACAATGTAAAAGGGGTAACAATTCAATTGCACTTTATTTTGCTAATTTTTGTCACTAAATGGGCCTAACCCTCTTTTAGCCATTAGAGTCACCATCTATCTGAAAAATTTTGACCTTGCCAACAGATGGTTTGGTCCTCCGATTTGAAAATCTCATCAGCTTTGGATTGCCCAAAGACCGAACTAATCCTCCATCTGATGGTTTAGAAAAGAGTTTGAGGGAGTCTCCACCAATATTTTACACAAAACATCAAAAAAAGTAAACATTTTCAAAAATTCAACTTTAGCCTTCATAGCCACAATGGGGTTCGGAGACTGGTTATGTGCAGGAAAGGTATTAAACACCCTACAATGCCCAAATTTAGTACCCTATGACAAATTTAGCGTAATAACAACGTAATTAAACTTCTACCCCTTTTATTTTATTAAACATACAACAATTTTATTTCTATATTATCCTAATCTACAATATATGCATCACCCTCATTATCTACATGGTGCCTATTCTATACATATAGGAAAAGCGATAAACAAAGTAGTAAATAAAAGAGAAGAATTGGGAATCTCTGAAGAAAGCTTTTTATAAATCTTTGCAAATTTTGCACAAAGGCACTTTTTGGCAGCCTCTTCACTTTACAAGAAACTCACTATAACTCAGAGTTCACATAGAAGGGGAATGGATCAAGTGTGTGGAAGTACGAGCCCTTGGCACACTTTTATAAGCATCCAGGGAAAGGGAACGATCATTTTCAACACTAGAATGGTCGTTCTAGGCCTTAATTTTCACATAATTAGGTCAAGTAGAATGATCGTGCCAAGCCATATATGTTACAAAGGGGGGACATCAGTCCTGGTCCTAGGGTTAGGGTTTTGACTATTTTTTGTGCTAAAATGCCTCTCGGACTTCCTGTGCTCCATCTTGACCCATTTTTGTACCTTCCTTAGCCCTCAGGGGTTGCTTTTCTTATTTTAGAAGTCTCCTGACCTTGTAGGAAAAGCCCAGACAAAACCTGGTGTCTACACCTATTCTCATCCCTAGTTGAATAAAATGAGTATTCTATTTTTTGTGATTTCTATTTTGTCTTGCACGATAATTTAAATACCCAATCAATAATATCCCTTTGAAGAAATACTTTTTTATTGTAGAATTTCTGCTATGAAGAAGAAACCTTGCAAGCTTACATGATAAGTTAAAAAAAAATACATATGCTAAAAAACACATCCCTAACCTTCTTTTTTTTTTTTTTTTTGCATGTTTCACATATGATCCAATTGCAAATAGATTAACTACATCTTCACCCAGAAATATTCTTGAAAGTAAGGATGTTGCTTCACTTAATGATGTTTTTCAACTTCAATTAAGGTGTGGCTAGTCTCGTTATTATAATACCCCATATCTTGCATTATGACCCATCCCATATTTGGCCTAGTCTCTTTATTTTTGACACCTGTATTTATTGTAGAAAATAACATTTCTTATCTCTTTAGTGCTTTTGTTTCTTTCTAATATTTATTTTTATTTTAAAGGAACATTCAAAATTTAGATTAATTAAAAAAAAGTAGATATAGAACCAAGTATTTCAATTAAAATATAGTGGAAAATTATTATAGTCAACGCTCAGTGGTCACTATTCTAGGTTACTAAATGCTTACTTTTGCTACTATACTCATGTTTCAACACTTTCTATCTTATTTTATTTTTTATCTTTTGCATTAATTATTAAAGTGGTTATCATTTATTCATTAAACATAGTTGTGAAAATAACAATATTTTCTTATTTTGATTTTGATTAAAGAACAAATTATTGAAGAAAAAAATCCATTAACTCTTTCCTAAAGTAAACTATTTTAATCCCAACAATGATATTTTTTAAAGGTATTTTATTTTGAATTACTATTATTGTTGGCATTCTTTTTTTTTTTGTAGTCTCATAAACAAAAAGAAACTATGAGTGCATATACTATATAATAAAGACAATGCATACTATTATCGATGTACAAATAGTATTTGCATGAGTTGAAGTAAGTTTTATAATTTTAAAAATTCTTATTTTAATTTCTCATTTTATTATATGTTTTATGAATTATTCTTCTAATTTTTCTTTACAAATATTTATAGACCGATCATCTTTGTCATTAGTAGACATAAAGACTATTAGGGAGTAATGGGCTACAATTTTCTTTGAGCATTACATTGAATAGCTAGAGCTCATGTTTTCAAGTTTAAAGACATGTTTCTTAGTTTAGGATATATAATATTATTTTACCATGTTTACTTAACTTATTATATTCACATTGTATGTATTTAAAACTCAATTAATCATATATATGGTTGTTCTTGTTTACCTTTAACGTTCCATTTGTATGTAATTTGTTCCATTGATAAGTAACATAAGAAATGCAGATATTTTGGTCCATTGCACACACAGACACACAGACAGATACACACACACACAGACACACACAGACACACAAACACACAAACACACACACACACACGCACACACAAATACACACACACACAGAGACACACAGAGACACACAAACACACACACAGACACACATACACACACAGACACACAGACACACACACACACAGACACACACACACACAAACACACACACAGACACACACACACACAGACACACATAGACACAGACACACACACAGACACATACACACACAGACACATACACACACACACACATATTTCTCCCCTATATATTCTTGACATAAAAAAATGAGAGAAGTTTTTAATTCTTTTTTTAATTGAGCCTGCAGGCTTACCCGTTTAACTACGGGCTTCACGGCGTGAATATAAGTCTTAATATAAGATCATTTATTTTATAGGTTGGATTTATTTTGCCTATTAAAAATATGGGCTTCGCGAGCTGGGCCTTAAGCTAGCTCGTATACGCACACCTACCCATTGTGGAACTGAAGTGAAACTATCCTTCACCCATGGATCATGCCAAAACAAGGTTTTATTACCCAAACCCACCTTATTATACAAATATGGGCTTTGACTACGGGCTTCACGGCGTGAATATAGGTCTTAATATAAGATCATTTATTTTATAGGTCAGACTTATTTTTCCTATTAAAAATATGGGCTTCGCGAGCTGGGCCTTAAGCTAGCTCGTATACGCACACCTACCCATTGTGGAACTGAAGTGAAACTATCCTTCACCCATGGATCATGCCAAAACAAAATTTTATTACCCAAACCCACCTTATTATACATTGACCTTGAATATCACCTCTCTTGAAAATTTGAATCATTTTCCACTCTATTGATATCGCTCCACCAATTTGAGCAACTCCTCCCACTATTGACCCATCCTTCTTCTCCATTAGCATATTTCCCTCTAAGCACCCTATACCATAATCCTTTCCTCTCAGTTTTCATCCTCCAATGCCATTTTCCTAACAATGCCAAATTAAAAGTTTTAAGAAATCTTATTACCAAGCCCTATTCGCCCTTCTCTTTACATATGCACCTTTTCCCACACCACCCAATGAACTTTATGCTTTTTTGCATTCCCACCCCATAAAAAAAATTAAATAGAGATTCAATTAGATTGGAAGAAATGACAAGACTGATTTGATTAAAAACACTCTTCCATATTTTGAAATGTATTTACTTTCCCAAAACATTAATATATTTATCACCAATTCTACTATTGATTTCCACATGTCTTTCTTTCTTGGATTAGCCCCAGTTTGTAGCCTTAAGTATTTGAGAGGTAGGACTCCAACCTTACAATTCAAAATAACTGTCGCATCCATTGACCATTCATTAACAACATTCACCCCTATCAATTAACTTTTATGAAAATTCACCTTTATACCATAAATCAATTCTGTATGTATCTGAACATGTAAAAACTTATTTTACCCTAAAAATATTTATGTATGTATGAATTACATTATTTTTATAGACAAGTATGAATTATATATTTTTTATACACAAAGTACGTATAATATTACATCTAAAAGGTTAATGTAATGTATATATTAATAATTGATTAATATGACTTTGAAGCCTTTTCTCAGGTTTCTTCTACTTAATATGTAGTCTTCATATTCTTCCTTGTAGTTTCATTCCTGATATTGAAAAAAAATTAAAAGATAAACCAAAATTTCCAAGTTAATAAACCAATAATTTGACTCATAATTTTACTTGCTGAATTGAGAGCCAATAGAGATCAATTAGAGGAATTTTACCTTTGGCATCAAGGGGTCTCCTTAAGTAGGTATACTCATCAAAATAAGATTTTAATGGTCACAATGGGTGTCGAAATCATGTCATGAGGAACATAAACTCAGACTGGATCTTGAACCATTTTTATCAAAATTAATAGCTTTAAAACAAGGTTTGAAAGGATCTTACAAAATTATTTTAAAAAATACAAAATCCAAAGGAATTTGCAATTTTTTTTTAAAATTGAAATATTTTAATATAATCAAAAGGTAATTGTAATCATCTAACAATTTAAATTAAGAACAATATATATGTTGTACAAGAGATATCTTTCATAAAACAAATGATATATATCGTGTATATATAAACAAGTTGTAAAAGTAACACTATTATGTTACAAGTTTTTAAATTTTTGCATATAACATTAAAATTTGTGCACCTGGATTGTTGTGCATATATGATATGGTCTTGTTCAAATTTCCAAGCCAAATCTTCTCAGCAAATGTTATATACACTGATCTTAACAATGGTGTATTAAGATCATCTTTCAAAAATATTTCCATACTTGGAATATTGTTCACCCTCACTATTTGTAAGTTAGGCCAATTATAACATCCCCCTTCTTGACAAAAGTTGACAAAATTTGGAAGATCTTTGAGCACAAGACATTTCATCTTAGGGAAAATGGTAGCCACCTTTTCATCTTTATCACTAGATATTATCTCTTCTACTTTCTCACAATTACACAATTTGAATATTTTGAGTTTTTCAAGATTTTTGGCTTGAGAAAGTGAGAATAAGCTTTTGAGGCTGTGGCAATGAACAATGAAAAGTGAAACCAAATTATTAGGGAAAAATGAAACTTGAGGTTCCTTGTTCCAAAATCACGTCAAAATACTTAGGTTACTCAATGTTAATGCCCTTAGTTGAGGAAGAATTTTTTGGCTATCATGATTTGGTTTGTCACCTTCAAGGATAAATATCTCAGCCAATAATTCAAATTTTTCTAAAGTCAATTTTTTTAGCTTGTTGAATCTTTTTATCATGGTAGGGGAGAAGACACTCAATAGCCTTTTATTGTTTCTCAAAATAAGATTTTCTAACTCACAAAATGATTTAGAAGGACAATTATAGTGCCAAAGCTTCTCAACCGGTTGATTTATTACATTAAGTACCTTCAATTTGTCTAATGACAACTGCAAAGAACAAACAATAATTCTCAATGATTTGGAACAAGGATGAATAAAAAAACTATGTATACATACACTTTCTTAATAATGAATATTATTTCTAAAACATTAAAGTGAAGAAACTTACCGAATTTGGAAAGAAATAGTTTGAATTAGCTAACTCTGATTGGTCTTTCTCCTCTTTAGACTCTTCAACAAAAGTCTTCCATCTAGGACAATTTTCTATTTTTAGTGTTTCCAAGGATGGAAACTCAGCTGCAATAGGAAAGACAATGGAGATATTTAATAGATTTACAAGGGAAACATCCCTTAACTGAGAAAAGGTAGTTTTCCCTCTCATTCCTTCTTCTTCATGGATGATCATAATTTTATCCAAGGCCCTACAATCTATAATTTCCATATTTTTTAGCACCTGAGATGTGGGCAACCATTTAAGAGACTCACAATTCTTCACTTGTAGGATTTTCAGGTTTTGATAGAACTTGACAATTTCTTCATTGATGATTTGAGTTAACTTAGGTAGATCATTCAAAATCAATTCATCTAACTGTTGTAGGAGCTCAATGGAATGAGATATTGTTCCATCAATGTTGAAACCAATAGTGTCTTCGAGCATTTCTGTCAGTTCCAACATCTCATTTCTGTCATAAACTCTTAATGCTAACATATCAGCAGTATGCTTTCGTCTTGGTATGTGCTTTTATGGAAGAAACTTCCCTGCATGTGCTTTTATGAAAGCTCAAGTCAAATTTTTTTAATTAGAAGAAGACAAAAAGAATATACATAGTGCATCTAATATTAATTAAGAGTCATTAAGAAGAGGTTAAGTACTCATTAATTATTAGAAGAAAAAAAAACCTATATCTATATATATTTTGTTCTTATAACCATGATAACTATCGGTAAAATCAAATCTAATTTTACTTATAAATATTTAGCATATATATCAATATAGTTTCCTGAGTTTTTTATTTTTTTATTTTTTATATTTTTTTTTACTTCAAATAATGGAAGAAACTTCTTGCATGTGCTTCTGTAAGACTGAAGTGAAGGTTATTTTATATTAGCTTCTAACCAAAAATATGGAGAGACAAGAGATCGAGTATATATATATATATATATATAGTCAATGTATTTTTTTTACATTCTTAAATAATTAAAAACAATTATTAGTATAATTTTAA